AGTTTCTGAAAAGCCTCTTCCGCTATTCATACCCAGTTTCTAATTTCTGTGCCACATTTCTTTCGTCTGTTATTACACTCCTCAGAGAGTTCAATTTCTGCACCTGCTTGTGGCTAACTTTTACAATTCGTAGAACAAGGCTTGGTCTGTCTCTATCACTGACCACCATATATGCTGTCTTATTGCAGTTTATAACCCATGTCTACAATTCTTTTGGGGAAACGGTGTGTCGGATGTTTTGGCTAATTTTGAAAAATCTTTAAGTGCTTAATCCAAAAAGAACACCAATCTTCCATCATTTGCTTAGTTTTGCTGCTCCAGAATGCCATATCCTACATAAAAATCGTCATGTTTGGATGATGTCACTGTAAATTGAAAGAACAAATTGTTATTTGAAACTTAAACACAATCTTGTGAAATAAAATAGAACTTCTGGAATACAAAAGAAATATAACACAATATGTGATTAAAATTCGAATATGGAGAATAAGTAGCAATCATAGTAAGAACTTTAGCTGATTTGATTTTCGTGAATATTTAGTAGATTAGTCTTACTTTCAATTCCATCATCAGTCAGCCATCTTTATTTTGACACATCTTCCTTGATAGTTTTCTTCCAGAACTTTAACATCTTGGTGGAATCTTTCACCTTTGCTCATCAATAACATCACCTAAATTAAATTATACCACAGTCAAATTCATGTTTCTCCTACAAACATTTCATACAGACTTTGTAAAGTGATTATATCCAATGACTGTATATTGTTTCTTTTCATAACTAATTAGAACACTAAAATTATTATCGTCATGCAGTATATCTAAAGCACTTTATAATGTTTCCATTTATAACTTAGAACAATACAATTATATTATCATTATCAATATATGTATGATGATAATGACAGTATTGTTCTAAATTATGGTTTTTACAGAAGGCATTTAAAATTAATTTGAACATGATGGGAAATTTGACTATAAATAGTTCTATACAGCAAAATGTGGAGCTAATGTGTAAAAATGGACTTTCAATTTTATATCGCCATAACTTAATGTTCCTTAAATTTATAACAGACGCTGAAAAATGTGTTGCATAAAACGATGGTCAATGCCAAAATCGACAAGAATAAATTCTCACAATCGATCCCAAAAGCAGGAAGAAAAATAATGTGCATGTTGCGATGGTCGGTGTATTATTAATTTAGAGTTCTTAGAATGTAATGAAACACTAAATGCACATTTATATGTCAAGCAGCTGTAACGTTTCCATAAACATTTGTTGGAAAGGCGCTGATCAGTAGGGAAAACGTTGGTAGCACAATGTTTCATCCAGCTAGAAAAACACAGGAATTTTACTGGAAGCAATCGAAGAGTTGGCTGATACGTGACAACACGTCATTGCAAATAATGATGAATATATAATTGAATAAAATATAAATGAACTTTAATTTTTGAAGAATAATGTTGATAAACAAAAACAGAGATTATTACATTTATTTTAACGTGAAAACGAAAACGTACTGCAAAGCAAGCATAGAGTAAACGCGTTAATGCACATTTAAGCATCCAGCAGCTGAAATGTGTCCATAAAGGTTTGTTTAAAAAGCGCCCTGCATTCACCAATGTTCAATACGCGGGAAAAACGTTTAGAACTCGGTATGTTCAACCCAAATCACCATATTCACCTGACCTTTCACCAACCGATTCTCATCTTTTTAGATAGCTGCAAAACGCTTTGCTGAGGAAAACATTCTCTAACCAAGACCAGATTCAAGAATTTGTCTAAAACTTTTTCACATGTGAAATTGTACCCAAATCTCTTCATAAAAGTGCATAAAACGTGTCCATAAAAGTTTTGTCGAAAACGTGTCTATAAAGGTTTGATGGAAAACGTGTCCATAAAAGTTTGAAACAGCAACGTGTCCATAAAAGTCTGGTTGAAAAACGCCCTGCGCTAATCAGTAGGAAAAACATTGATAATGCCACGTACACCAAGAACACAGAAATCTTACTCAAAAGGTATCAAAGTGACAACAAGGCATTGCAGATAATGGAGAATATATAGGTGAATAAAATGTAAATATAAATGAAGATTGAAGTTGGTAAGCAATCAATAGACCTAATATAATTGCCTATATATCATTCAGATCATTAAGCGTGCGTCAGCCTCGAGAGACGATGGTGTTATGGTCTGGATAATATTTCTGGCGCAGTGTTTGTCATGTCCTGATAGGCCTTTTCTAGAAAGTCAGCCTCTCTTACACTTGACACAGACAACTTTTGGTGTTGGTCTGTCTGACTCCTATTTGTAACACAAATCTGTTACAGTATCATCTCGTGAATATTCATTGTGAATAGCACTGATACCAGACCCCACACTGTCATGAATGTAGAAAAGAAATTAAGAAGAAGAAAATAGTGTTTCTAGTGATGTTTTCTAAACAAATTATGAATTGATTTCATATCTAGAAACACAGAAGTAAGGAGATAGGTACTAAACATGAACTAAAGAGAACGGCAACGTACAAACACTTAGCAAATTAAAATATTTAAATTCTTTGATATTTTATTCAAAGATCGCTATAAAGAAAGCCTTGAACAGGGTGACAGATCCACACAAATGAACAACGTGAAATCTTTAAATCTGAAGACTCTGGAACGGATTCTATTCTAAAAATAGTTTATTCTGTGAAATATGGAAATGTGAGGTAGAAACCGTTTCCTGGTTCCATTTTCCAAATCGACAAGATTTTCCTCGAAGTTCATATTGATTGATTCATTTTCTACAGCTTGCAGGTGATTTTAAAGCCAGAAAATATTGTAGATTGTATTTTTTTTTATTTTTTTTTTTTATTTTTTTTTTTTTTAGATAATAATAATGTTGTAATACAGGTGTTGCTAATTAACACGTAGCTGAGGGGAGAAGAGGTGGCTTGATACCTTTCTGAAGTTTCAAACTAAGTTATAACGTTCTTGCTTACCTTCGTTGTTTATGGCGACACTTGGAAGGAAAGTGTGTAGAGTGTGGTCGTCTCACCACTCCACGGTTTGCATTAGTGGCCATGGCTTGTGTAGCATTTTTTGGCCAAACTCAATATTTCCCAGGTCCGACAACCATTATTTTCCCAGGATCTCTCACCCCTTGTGACTTTTCCTCATCAAAAATAAATTGATTGATTGATTCGTTTTCTATTAACAATTCCGATCCATTATTGGGTACTAGGTATTATCTGGTTCGACATTGCTTAAACTCTGGAAACGGCCTTAGAAGATCGGCGTTCAGACTCCTGGGTTTCAAGCCAACAAGCAATGGTCACTCAGTTATGTGCCATACGTGATACAAGCTTAGACGATCATGTACCTTTCGATACATGACTGACGAAGCAGTTTTTTTCCTGCAGTAGGTTGCCATTTCTTTCTGTGGTAGAACAGTTGTCATCCAAGGCTATAGAACCCGGTCTGTCCAACTATTTACCCATAGCTCTGGAGAGAAGAGGATTCATACCTTTTCCCAAGAGTATTAGTACGTAATTGCATGTAATGAATTGGACAGGAATATTTAAGACTGGATTAAGTACATTAACAAAGTAAGACTATGTTGAAAAATAATCATGTGTTCGTTGTAATTGGGCTCCAACATTCTGGTATGACTACATAAATATGAAGAATGTGGACATAAAGATCAACACTGCATAATGACTAGGAGTTTCATGCTATCAGCGAATGTCTGATCATGTATTTGACGATCGTTTTAAGGTTAGAAAAAATAGTTACCAAGTAGTGTTGATTTACATGCCCACATTTTTTCATATCTACATAGTCTCTATCCACGATATTGAGCACTATTATTCCATAAATATAGAAAAATGTGTCATGAGGAAAGACGGCTTAGAAAGTTTAACACGCAAAACATATTGAAGGCAAGAGGGACAGAGGAAAACAACGTATGACCTAACTATCGAGTTGTGGGAATGGTTAGCAGAACATGGATTAGGAGAGATAGCAAAAAGACAAACATTGCAGGAGCTGTGAACGACAGGAAGTTGTGGAGAACCATGATCGCCGACGCCTTGGAGGAAGAGGGCATATGGAAGTGGAACGTGCTTGCGTAAATGATTGGCAGAACTGGGAGTAGAAGATATAGCAAAAAGGCAAGCATTGCTAAGAGATCCAAATGACAGGAGGTTGTGGAGAACCACGATCGCTCAAATCGGAAGGGACACGGCATATAGAAGAACAACAAGAACATAGGAATACATGCATTTTGCAAGAAATCTTCCATGATATCTTTTAGTACAGTTTTGTGTCTCAAGACGTTTATTTTTTAAGGTTTTACTAATTCCACTAAGTAAGGGCTTTTTCATTTTTTTATATCGTTTTTCTCTTTAGTTTTTCCCTCATTCTTTGTGTGTGTGTTTGTATGTGTGTGTAAATACATTTAAAGCCAATATATTAAGTTAAATTTCTGTATCTGTAGAAATATTTTACCATTTTTTTCTTCCTTCTCATTCTTCTGCCTATTTTAGCGTTTAAACACATTCTTCTTTTTTCTTGGACTTTATTTCACTTTCTCTCTCTCTCTTTCTCTCCTCTTTGCCCACTTCTTTTACGGTGCATTAATTTGTTTTCTCTTTCCTCTCTATCCATTACTGATTTATTTTAAACATTTTCTTCTATATAAAATGCTTATAAATTACGAAAGAAATAAAAACTGCAAAAATAAACATGTCTTCTCTCTCTCTCTCTCTCTCCACCCATTTTTAAAAAAATTATTTATTATTTTTTTCTATTCTCCGTCCCATTTAAAATCATCTTCCTTGTCTTATCTCTTTTCCAGCATCTTCATTTATTTTTTGTCCTCCTCCTCCTCCTTTGCCTGATTCTGCGGCTACCTTCTTCTTCTCTCACATTTTTTTAACTACGTTTCCTGCGCCCTGAAAAGTACTTTTCCAGATCCTTTGAGATTTTCACTGTCCAAAATTCACTCCTTTGTCTGTCATTGAATGTTTCCTCTTTACCCCCCACCGGCTACTGAAAGATTTTCCTTTGAGTACGCACTTTCTCACACGTACATACACGTATAATCAGAAACCGTTGGAAACCACCGAAACTCCTCCGATAAATAAAGCTTGACGTTTCAACCCAGGTCTGTAGTTTACTAAGCCTCATCGTCACTATTATGATCAGGGCGTGGCGATACCACGGATCCTCACGATTTTCTCCAGTCTTCCCGATTATCCATCACCCCTGCTAGGTCTTCAGGCTGGCATCCTATTTGTCTGTATTTTTGAATGGCTGGCCAGTATTAGCAGGTTCGTGTTTTGCTGCCCTTAACAGAACGTCACTGATACACACTTTCTTACTTCTCCAGGAATGCTCCGAAAATCTTGGCCTTCTCTTTCTTTTTTTTTTTGTTTCTTTTTTTTTTTTCTTTTTTTTTTTTTTTTTTTCTTTTTTTTTTTTTTTTTTTTTCTTTTTCTTTTTTTCTTTTCTTTTTTTTTTTTTCTTTTTTCTTTTCTTTTTCTTTTTTTTCTTTTCTTTTTCTTTTTTTTTTTTTTTCTTTTTTTTTTTTTTTTTTTTTTTTTTTTTTTTTTTCTTTTCTTTTTTCTTTTTTTTTTTTTTTTTTTTTTTTTTTTTTCTTTTTTAGAGTCTTTTCACCTTTTTCACAGAGCCGAGTTCGAATTCCAGTTAAATTCATTACATTCACTTACATGCTAATACCCTTGGGAAAGGTATGAATCCTTTTCTTCTCCCCCCCCTGCTATGGGTAAATAGCAGGAAAGATCGGGTTCTGTAATATTGGATGACAACTGGTCTACTGCAGAAAGAAATGGCAAACTACTGAGGTAAAAAAAAATCTGTTAGTCATGTATCGAAAGATACATGATCGTCTAAACGGGTATCACGCATGGCACATAACTGACTGATTGACATGCTAATACCCTTGGGAAAGGTATGAATCCTCTTCTTTCCCCAGCTATGGTCAAATAGCAAGACAGATCAGGTTCTATAGCTTTGGGTAGCAACTGGTCTACCGCAGAAAGAAATGGCAAACTACTGAGGTAAAAAAAATCTGTTAGTCATGTATCGAAAGATACATGATCTCCTAAACGTGTATCACGCATGGCACATAACTGATTGGAGGTTCATCCTGTACAAAGCCCGGGTTTCACTGTAAGTAGGGGGGGTTACAAAAAGAGGCCGTTTATGCAGATAGGAGTAGAAGATAACGGTTAACCCCAGACTTGAACAGGTTAAGATTGTAGTGATCGGGGAAACATCCTCTTGGGAGTCGGTTCCACAGGGCAGTCGTTCGTGGGAAGGTTTTGAATTCGGAGTAGTCCTCAAATCTATCCTACTATTTAACCCGTAGATGGGTGGGTTAGATTGACTCCCCCCCCCCAAAGGACGTTAATACGAAAGTGAACAGGCGTGGACGAGGATTGAACTTGGCTCGTCGATTGCACTTTCTGTCGGTATAAACGTTACGCTACCTACCCACCACAAAGATTTGTAACAAAATATGTGCGAAAATAGGCACGTGCGATATTCAAATTTAGGCTGGACAAAATCCATACGTTATGAAAATTAACGATTTTAACTATTTTTTTTGTCGGTGGGGGGGGGGCGGTTCTTGATGAGAATCCCATGAATGGAATATATAATCAAGGAAGAAGTTTCAAGTAACATGGAAACAAAAACGATGCCTACAATTAAAATCAGAAAACAATTGAAATTTCTGGACACACAATGAGAAGAGTCGGCCTGGAAAATTTAGCCCTTACAGGACCTACTAAAGGCCAGAGAAACAGGGGAAAGCTGATGGTAAACGTTTGGCAGAACAGGGAGTGGGGTATGTGAAAAGACAAATATTGCCACGAACTAGAGAAAGCTGTGGAGAACCATGATTGGCCCTGTTGTGAAGAGATGCATCACATAAAAGATAAAACGTAGTCTTTAAACCTTTTAACACACATAAGAACGATACTTACATTGCACGTGTCGGGTAGGTTTTTATCTTCTCTCAGTTGCGTCTCTGTTTTCGGGCGGTGTGCAACTCGGTTGTGGCTCCGTCGGAGGACAGCGGCGCAACTGAGGAAAATCACACTTTGAGGTACCCAGCCCTGGAGAACAGATACCCAAAGTTGCATTCTCTCATTGCACTAGAGAGAGAGGGATCGGTGCTCGCACAGAGGCCAGCTCAACCGACATTTGCGGTGGATCGGAGAATTTTTGTTCTTGGACCGGGTGTACGCGCTCGGGTTCCCCACATTAAACCCGACCTTGTGTCACATCCTGTCTCAGTGGGGAGGGCCAGGGTAAATATTCATAAGACCGATATTTCAGACTCAGCGAAATTTTACTATAAAATAATTTTCAAAGTGTGGTCCAGGAACCGGTAGTAAACCATGGGAGGTACAGAAAATTAAGAAAGAAAAAAAAAACAACTAAATAACTATCCACTGCTAAAAGACTGCACCTCTTTCCAATTACATGGAGCAGGAACATTTGCATCAAAGACAATAAAAACAAAATCCTTGTAAAGAGCTCGGTGTTAAAAGAGATATGAGAATCTAATTGTCTATCGTTAAGCTTAACATCAAAGGGATGTTTTAATAATAATAATAATCCCGTTCTGAAAGGTATGCTTCACACATCTACAATATCAAAATACAAAAACATATGGTATCATCAACCCGTAGCGCCAAATAGAGTAGCCGTATTATCGAAGAGACCACAATTTTATACTTATTTTCACTTCCACACTCAATGTAAGACTTGAATCGTGTTTCCCACGGAGAAATCCGGTATATCATCAAACTAGAATAGATTTTACAAGTACGCGCTTGTACCAATGCATTGATTGATATGTTTCTTTGTTTAACGGCATATCGACTCCTTGTGGGTCATTTAATACTGAAATTTAATTTTCTTGCAAGCTTTGAAGTAATAAAAATATGATATTTGTTATTCTACTTTCACAACTGAATACATGGTAGATGACTGGTTGGTTTTGTTTAATGGCATATCGACACTTCTGTGGGTTATTTAATGCCGAATTTTAAATATATTAAACAGTTTTATAGCTTCAACTACAGATATTCTGTACATAATTTTTATACCTTTAGAGTATACGTAATTTTTTTTTTTCAGATATATAGCTTGTAGATAAAATGTAAAATTAATGGATTTTTTTTTTTTCATTATGGCATTAATATATCAAATGGAGGTGTTCATGTGTTAGTTTTATACCGCTAATCCAAACGGTGGAATAATGGATAGTGGCTCGGATAGAGCAATCGGAGAGCCGAGCTCGAATTCGTGCTAAAGTATGAATTCCCCCCCCTCCACCGATGTGAGTAAATAGCAGGACAGGCCGGTTTCTATAGCTTCTATAGGATTCCGAATTTGGGATATGAATTGAAATCAAATATGGAGTAAATCCGACAGAATAATTGAATAAGGAATAATAGATTAATAGAATAAAAAACAAATAGGAAACGTTTGAAAATGTTTCGCTTTTATTTAAGCTTCCTCATAACTAATTATACAAAGTTTCTGATGAAGATTTTAAATAAAAGCAAAACACTAAATTTATAAACGTTTCCAATTTGTTCTTATTTCAAGATTTTGAAATATAATTGCCTTGCCTTTCATTCTCACGTTTCTCTCTCTCTCTCTCTCTCGTTGTCTGTTCTTCTTGCTTTCTCTCATGGGGCGTGGTCAGAGAGGGCGTACCTTTCGACACATCATTTTCTTTCTTTCTTTTTGCCTACTACCACTTCCTCGATGGTCGTTGTTGAAAAACTAGCAAGAACTACTTTGAAACGGAATCTCTCGTTTCCGACGACACTTCTCAAAGATTAGGACAAACTCCGACCCCTCACGCATCCATCTCTCATCTCTCCCCCCACCTCGCCCTTTCCTCGACACTGCTTTACTTTCAACACCACCCTCATACGCCACCACCATCATTCCCAACATCAATCTCACCTTCCTTTTCAACGTTAGCCACCGTTTGTATTAGTTGATCGACCGACCGTATAATTGTGGCCGCTTCCTATCCTTCATCTCATCGGGCGCCAACCATAGGTCTATGGTTAGCATCGGGGACCAATTATATTGAGTTTGAATGCCTCACCGTTGTTTTGTCTTTCTGTCACTCTATTCAAATAAGGTTAGCAAAGAGAACGCCTCTTAGGTTTGCAATTGTTAGCAAACCAATTCGCAAGGGTAGCGAGTTCGAGCCTTATTGAGTGATGCACTATCATCCAGTTTCTTCTGCCACCTCTGAACTTCGCCCTCCAACCTCCTGTCCAATGCTCCATTTCTAGAGTTTCTCCTTCATTGACTCTTTATAAACGTATATTATTCGCTAAGGTTCCGATTTTGTCACGTGACAGCACCTAAGCTAAAGATATAGATATCTTCAGAAAAGGCATATCGTTTCAAAAGAGAAAAGGTGCTTTCGAATTGGTTTTGGGCTTTTAAATTGTTCTTGATTATTATTATTATTATTATTATCTTATGGTAATGGGCACTTGGCCGTGGTAAGAGGGTTCGCATTCCTACCATGAGACCCGGGTTCTAATCTCACCATGGTCGATTTGTTAGGAAAGAGGGGTTGATCCCAGCCTGTGTGCCTGAAAACAATGCCACGGGTTGACCCAAGCCTTGTGAGTGAAATTGGATAGCCGTCGGTAGCTGTGTTAGCACAAATTCACATGTCATCGTGGCCGAGATGTGTGAGCGTGCTGCCCTTGTTCAAATTGTTGATCGCGCTAGATAACACGCTCTTTTCCTCAGCATAGTCGCAGTATAAACCACAGGTGGGTGTTGAATAAACACAAAATGCGCCTGGACAAGCGTCTGCAATAGGGATTGATTAGCCGCATTACTAGACGGGTATCCTCGAATACGAGGGGCAGCTAGGCTATATATATATATATATATATATATATATATATATAATCTTATAATTCTGCTTATTTTTCCTTATTTTATTAGTCCCCATATGTTACGCACTGCCAATCCCTCCCTTTCTCTCTTTATGTTCCATGTCCCACAAGACGTAGGCGATCATGGCTCTCGACAATTTCATGTCCTAAATAAATTCTGCCTTTTCGTTTTGTTTTTTTTCTAAACCCTGTTCCATCATCCATTTCCTCAAAGTCGTCAAGTATTTTGAGATGTTTCCTCTGTCCCTCGATCCGTCCTGTGTGTAACAGATTTTCCAAGCCCTCCTTTGTTATGTTATGCCCCAGAAATTTCTACTGTCTCTTCCTGAAGTTAAGTATGCGTTATTATTTTGTTTCCATTTCCTCTAAAACCTCGCCGTTGCTTGCATATTATGTCTATGGTATCCTCAGCATCTTTCTGTAGAACCACATTTCTGTTGCTTAAAGTCTTTTCTTTATCTTTGATAAAATTGGCCAGCATTCGCTGGCATAGAGAATATCACGTAACAATTCAGTATTCTTTCTTTACACGATTTACATTATTCGGACTATTGCCCTCATCTTTGTTGCCATATTTATTACAACGTTTCGGCCTTTCAATATCTGTCAATATTTCTGAGATGAGGTATTATGTACACGATTTACATTATTCGGACTATTGTCCTCATCTTTGTCGCCATATTTATTACAATGTTTCAGCGGTTGTACGCTCCGGCCTTCTTCAGATGGTTGGAATGTCGAACTTAACCCTTTATTTCACTCACTGGGGTAGACTGTTCTAGTTCCACGTGCCATGTCTAATAGATGTCATTTATCAGTTATCTCCTGTTAATTCCCCTCTGAAATTTCTCCACTGCCTTAACCGGGTATTGAACTCACACACTTGAGTTTTGTCATTGGATCTACCTAACGCCTTTATCCACTATGCCACTGTGTCCTTTCACAATACACTGCTTAGTCTTTGGAATGCATCTTGGGCTATTCCAATGCATCTTCAAATTTCATGTCGCACTTTACATCTTCTGCTAGAACACTTCCCAGATATTTAATTTTTTGTGCTTGGTTGATTCTGGTATCGCCGATTCGTAATTTGCATTTTAACATCATCCTTTTGCTAATAACCCTTGTCTTTTGTTAGTCCTTTCTTCTCGCTTTCCTTAACTACCTTCTGTAGCTTTTGTAAAAAAAATTTTTCCGTGTCTGCTATCAACACTCGGTTAAATAATGGAATATTCTGATTTAATCTCGATCAAAGACGCTGTTTAATTTTTTTTTTTTTTTAATAAAAGAAACAAAGATATACAAAGAAATTGTGATAGCGATCAAAAGCGGTATTTCTCAATCGGTGTTCCTCAAGACCGAAGTGTTTCGAGAGAGGTCGATAGGAGTTCTGTGAGAAACAGTGACAAATAGACTGATGCATTTTTGAGTGATTTTTGTTTAGTTTTATATCCGTAATTTTACTCAGTATGTACAGCATAGTGTTGAAAAATCTTTGGTTAATACTTCGAAGTAGTCCCCGTCTGAAGCCACACATAACCAAGTTTTAAAAGCCGTGTTCAGAAAGCTAGTCTTGCTAATAACCGCGAGCATATTGAGTTCGATCCTCACTGGCAGCGTCATTGTTTTGTCATTCGAGCAGATTAATTTGAGAAGTACCGTTCTACACTCCTTCAAATAAAAAGAAGGAAAGTCTTTTATCAATACTGGAAAGAGCGATAACAGCCACTGGGCATGAGAAACCTGTTTTCCTGAAAATTTGTAGTTAGAGAAAAATTTCATAATTTTCAACTGACAGTAGTAAAAGCAGATCGGTCCGTGGGTGCCGAATGTTTCCTTATAAGTAAACAGTTAATATTACCCTTATCGTTTGCATATTCCCGCTTATAATTTGATGTTTCTGACTTTTCCTTTTTCTTTGTCTCACATCAACTCTCATTCGTTCACCATTGAAAACACACTGATTATTATTACGTTTGACCTTTTCTTGTGAACTCCGCCTCAAATTAATTCTTCCAAGCGATATAACTTCACTTTTGAATTACACCTCAATTTTTTTTTCTGGGCTTGTACCAGTCACCCACAAAGAGCGGAGAAAAAAAAAAAGGAGAAAGAGAAAAAAAATTCCTGATTCCTTTTCTTGGCGTCACTCCGCAGACTCCACCTCCTTCCCAATTCTCTTTTCTCTCCCATCAGGCAATTCGTCGTGCATACATATGTGTGTGTTCTTACTTATAGTTCCGCCTTTTCCTTTGAAGATATTAATAGAGCTCCACCCCTCTGATGTATATTTTGCGTGCGTAAAAGTTTATGGATGTTATGAAATCAAATCAATAAGTCCGTAACATAACGATGAAAAAAAAAAAAATCTTACAAATATTTCCACATAATCTTTATCCATACACGGCACTCCATTCCTATAGATCGAATACTATAAAAAGACATTTTCAGTTCAAAATTCGGCTAATAACTATTTCAGGCTATCGAATTACTGATCCATGCTTATAACAGCATCTGATGGCATGAAAGATTCTCCATTTTCCACAGAATGGCTTTAAAATGTCTCCCGAGTTTTAGAAACGAAATTCATGCATCTAATAGGCTGATATTTACACGGACGTAATAAAACCAATTAGAATAAGCCGGAACTTATACTGAGAGAAAACCGCCTGCGTACGGATAGAAAATAGATTGAGTAGCTATACAATAATGGAAAGAGGCGTGAAACAAGGATGCATATTCTCCCCAGATTTAGTCAAACTCTACAACGACGCTATCCTAAGGGAACTGGTGACCCTACCAGGACTTATGGGCGTAATCTTAGCAATATAAGATACGCAGATGACATTGTGTTGACGGCCAACTCGGAAAGGAAACTACAAGACCTCCCAGACAGGGTGATAGAAGAAAGCAAGAAAAAATGACTAACCATCAGCAGCAAGAATACAAAATTGAGGATAAACATCAATCAGGTGCAAAAGTTCAAATATTAGGAAGCGTTTTAACAGAGGATGGAAAATGCGACATTGTGATGCGAATACTTCTCGGAAAAGTTAAAGAAGCATTCCCAGAGCTAAGTAAGGTACTAAGAAAATGTAAGAATTCATTAGAAGCAAAGAAAAGTGTGCTGGATTGCTATGTGGTATCCATTACTCTTAGATGGCAGTGAATGTTGGACAATATCTCTACAGATGAGGAAAATAACTAGAGGCAGCAGAAATGGACGTCACGAGTAAGCAAGAAGGAAGTCTTAAAGAAAATTATTTGCAAACCAATAAAATAGCACAAGAACATTCGAAATCCAAAGACAAATTGGACGAGCAAAAGAACCATTTCAAAAGCTTTTCAAAATGCAGAGAAACGGAAATATTTCGTTAGAAACAAAGAAAAGAGTGTCGGATTGCTATATGATAACCATCCTCTTATATGGCAATGACTGCTGGACAATATCCCCACAGATGAGGAAAAAATCTAGAGGAAGCGGAAATGTGGTTCTACAGAATGATACTGAGAATTCCATGGATGGAATGAGTAAACAACAAGGAAGTCTTAAAGAAAATGGCAACCGAAAGAAGACTTATACTCAAAATCATGAAAAGACAGCTAATTCATTGGTCACATAATGAGGAAGGAGGGCTTGGAAAGTTTGATCCTCTGGGGGATGGGGCATATTGAGGATCATGGGGATAATGAAAGGCAGCGAGCCACTTACCTGATGGCTTTGTGTGAATGGATGGCCGAAAGATGGCGGGGGCGTTAGCAGAAGGAGAAAAACTGATAAGAACCACACAAGATAGAAAGTCGTGGAGGGCCATGATCGCCTATGACCTACTGGTCTCAGATTCATTCAAATACAATGTTTTCCTCATCTACACGCTGGCATAATATTGTTAACATCTTCGCATCGTTTGTATAACGGAGGGTAGTATATAGTGATTTTCCAAGCGTAGCTTATGTGGCACAAGGCCAAAAGTAGGGGGCACCCAGTGAGGATCGAACTCACTCGGAGAATAGTATATATCCATCACAATTGTACGAATGTCTGTACGCGTAAAATCCTAACACACGCATGAAGTGCGCGTCTCTGTCTCCCTCTTTCTTTGTCCTTTTTTCTTTCTCTTTCTCTCTCTCTCTCTCTCTCTCGATGAGCACCCCTCTCTCTTTCTAGATGCGCTTCATTTTTTCTCGCTTTCGATGAGCGCCATTTATCGCTTTCTTGTTGAGTGCTCTTCTCTTTCTCTCTCACTTCCGATAAATGCCTCACACACACTCTCTCTCTCTCTCTCTCTCGATGACCGCCTTTTTCTTTCGATGAGTATCCCTTCCGCTCTCTTTCTCTCCCCATGAGTACCTCTTCTATCTATCCCTCTCTCTCTATATATATATATATATATATATATATTGTATGAGCGCTTCTTTCTCTCTCTCACTCTCTCTCGAAGTTCGCCCCAGCCTTTCAGTTAATGAACGCCTCTCTCTCTCTCTCTCTCTCTCTCTCTCTCTCGATAAACACCTTTTCTTTCTTTCGGTGAGCACCTCTTCCTCTCTCTCTCTTTCTTCGGCATCACCTCTTTCTATCTATCCTCTCATTCTCGATGAGCACTTCTCTCTCTCTCTCTGGGCGCTTTCTTTCTCAGTTTCGATGAGCGCCTTTTTCACTTTCTCTTCATGAAAACCTCTTCTCTCTCCTGATAAGCGCCTCTCTCTCTCTCTCTCTCGATAACCACCTCTCTCTCCCTCTCTCTTTATAATCGCCTCTCTCTTTCTCATATTACTATTTTCATTTTAATTCCAGATCACAGTTTCTGTTTTGGAAAGATTTATTTTGAGTCTTTTCTTGGAAAAACTTAGATGTTGACATTTCTTGTTCAAATTTACTCTCATTCCCACCAATGAATATCTATGTAGTCAGCATAGCCCCATCATCATCAGTACACTGGCCTCGGGAGAGAGTGTTAAATAATAATTTAGCAGATTATTACTTTTTACAGGAAGTATATCCTGGCGATAATAGCCCAGCGTGCCAAGCCTGTACCCTGACCTGGAACTGCAGTATATTGATGTATGCTGATTTGGTAGATTTCCACTAGAATGTTCTCGCAGGAGTTCCGAAATATTTAAAATGCAGAAAATCTAATATATATATATATATATATATATATATATATATATATATATTATTGACGCTGCTGTACATATTAACGTTGAAACTTTCCCACCCCAGCGACCCCAGGAGATTTATACTTTTGTATGAATAACGCCAACATCACCCTCACTTATACGAACTGTCAGTTTTTTAACACTTTTCTTCGTCTCCACAGACTGTGTGTTTTTTTTTTTGTGGGGGGGGGTTTTTTTGGGCGGTTGGCCTTTTTTGTAAGCCGATTACGTCACTGTTGGCAAATTAAGAAAACTAGTGTAATAATTCGAACTAAGAAATTCCCTATTCCCCTCAAAAAAAAAGAAATTATTTTCTCTCGCATTGACTACGCTCCGATGTATTTTATTATTATTACTATTATTATTATTGCGTTAAAAAGAAATAAAATAAAAACGATGTAGTTGTGTAAGTCAAAGTATACTTTGAAAATATTAAGCTAATGTAGTGAAAAGTTTATAAAATTGTAGTTTCTTCTGGTTTGTAAACAATTCCTGCAGTTTCCTTCAGTCCAATGGTTCCCAAACTTTTTTTTTTTTCTGGGCCTCATTTTTGGAATTAAAATTTGCACGTGCCTCAAATTTTATGTGATAAAAAGTACATTTAAAAATTAAAAAAAAAAACAGTAAAGTGATTTAAAGGGAGATAAACGCGGATTCGGAGTCAGAACATTATCATTGATAACTCTCTCCTCCAATTTGCGGAGCCTAGTTACTGTTTTCATAATATTTGATATAATGCAAAAATATCACAATGATAAAATAGGTCAGTAATTATTTGTAACTATTTATCCTGGGATTCATTCATACAATTACAAGTAATACATAATAATATTTTACATTTTGAAATCATTAATTTTTGGCATATAGATTTTTTTTTTAAAGCTGTTTCTAAGTCTTTGATTGTCTTTCAATCATTCCGCCTCACATGCTATCCTTTTCTGTCACACTGTTTGGGAACCACTGCTTTACTCAAACACTCCACGGAGCGCGACATGTGTCCCCTGTTCAATATAACAGTCACCATTTTATCTGTCGCTTCGTTATATCCTTTTTTTTTTTCTTTTTTTTTTTTAAATTATATCTTCATTGACACCCAAAATTTACATATGTAAAACGAGATTCTCGCGAGTCTATCTGATTCCGAGATCTATGTTTTAAATGTGTAAACTGCGAAGCAGCCATTTTTCGTTTTGGGACAATTTACATCCGAGACACGCTCGAACCAGTTTCCTTCCAAGAAATATGCTAGTTTCTCTCCTGTTACATTGATTGTTACAAAAAATGCAAGCCACCCTAGACCTTGTTGTAGTCTGCGGGAGTTCACTACAGTTAAGTCATAAATTATGTCCGTTTTTTTGTTCATCAACTTTATTCTTCAAACAAAGTACAATCACATTTTAATCACTCATATATTCACAATTATCTGCACTGACTTGTTGCTCCTTATCAGGCATCTCTTCGAGACCTTTTAAGTAAAATTCCACAAGTTCTTGATATGACAAATCTTTCCGACGAACTCATAAATCGGGTTAGCATTAGGAAAATCTTTTCAAAGATCGAAAAATAAATAATCGGTTGGAACAAGGTCAATTGAATTTTGCTGGTGGAGTAGAGCAGAAAAACCGAGTTGCAAAATCTTTTCCTGCATGTAGGATGCAAGCTTGTTTCATTTTTCTTCTTGACTAAAACAGGACGCTTTTTGAACAAAGTTTAAAAGACAGGTCGAAGCTGCTGGACGTATAAATGTGCATATAATGTTTCGTTGCGTTTCATGAACTCTAAATAAATAATACTCCGACGACACAACCACACGCACAACATTATTTTTTCTTTCACGAGTCTCGGCTTTTGTTGTCGCTTGTGGAGAATTATACTTGTCAATCGACCACCTTTTGCGTTGAACTTTCTGGTACTCCAAGTTTATTCCTAACTGCCTTGTATGATTAGTAATTAGGTGGATACATTTTTCATTACAATTGGTTTCAACGAAACAGAAAATTACTTATGATGTTTCCTTACTACTTGCTTTGAAACTGGTCATATGCAGGGTGCGAGGAATAAATTGTCGTTTTAAGATGTTTCCTTACTACTTGGTTTGAAACTGGTCATATGCAGGGTGCAAGGGATAAATTGAACGAGAGATGCGTTTCCATGGCAGTACTTCTCCATTGCTCAGAAGATACAGCTAAAAATACGCTTAACTTTCTATGATCTACCATGTATTGCGTCTTTGAACCGTGGGCCTTATCAAGAGGGTTAACATATTCTTTTAAGTGCCATGTCCTTTCATTACGTAAGTATTCATGTCTCTCCACAGCTTCCTTTTATTTGATATGTGTGAATTGCCTAACCTTTTTGGAATGATTGTTTTGTGCTTTTCCATAGCCATCTCTACTGTTTAAATTCAGAGTTACATATTTTGTAGTTAGGTGTTTCCTATCGGTTTCAGAGTTCAGTGTTCGAACCCAGCTAAATGAAAAGTTGAAAAAAATAGGATTTCGTATGCTGATTTTTTTTTTAGGCAAGCATTCCTTGTCCGCTTGGAATGATTATAACTTTTTTACAAAATAGATAAACTTTGGGTTTGTATATAGCTCGGCTTCGTCAATATAAAAAAGACGAAAAATAATTGAAAGATAAATAAACATGACGAAGAGATAAATAAATTTAACACTGAATGAAGACCAATTTATAAGAAAAAAAGAAAAGAAACTTACAAAAAAGATTTTTTTTAAAATCTTCGTTCACAACCAAATGCATAAAACCATAAATTGCCCAGCAACAAATATAAATCAATGTGAACCTCGATAAGGGGCAATGCTTATCGTTCACGACTAACTGAACATTATCAATGACTAGTGAATTCGTTCCTCACCAGGTGCTCGATACTTGTGTCCTTGTTCCAAACTAAACTTATGATTTATTCGTTTTATATGGCTTATCAACCTTTTGCAGGTTATTTAAAGCCGGAAAATATTTTAGATTGTTAGAATTGGGTTTAATGATAAAATTCTTACTAATTAACCCATTGCTGGGGTAGAAGAGGAGGATTTATACCTTTTCCAAGTTTCACGCTAAGTTATAACGTTCTTGCTCACTTAAGTTGTTTATAGCAGTGTTTGGAAGGAAAGTGTGTCGAGTGTGGTCGTCTCACCTAGCACAATATTCTCCAGGTCCGACAACCACCATTTTCTCCTGATCTCACACCTTACGACTTTTCCTCTTCAAAAATAAATTAATTGATTCGTTTTCTACAGTTTATCAGCCCATTGCAGGTTATTTAAAGCCAGAAAATATTTTTAGATTGTAAGAATTTTGTTTAGAAAATAATAATGATTTAATGATAATAGTCTAAGTCATTATTTGTGAATTCATACCTTTCCCAAGGGTATTTGAGCGTAAGTGAATATAACGAACCCAACTGGAATTGGAACTCGGCTCTTCGATTAACTTTTTCGGACCATTATTTATTAAACCACCCGAACATCTAAGCTTACAGCACCTGGTATTCCCAAGCAGTCACCCATCTAGGTACTGACATGTCTCGACATTGCTTAACTTCGGTTAACTAGTAAAATGACAAAGGATTCAAATCGAGTTTTTAAAAAAGACTCATTCGTAGCAATAAAAGTTTTGGTTGACTTCGGGGGACGTTTAATACCGCGTGTCAAAAAATCCACCATCACCATCCGGCTTTGACCTTCTGACGCGTGTATGGTTAAGTGCGGCAAGGTCGTATTTCTGTTTAAATAGTTGGGAAATTGTTTATTTTTGCCTTTGACAGGCTACAGGCCGGCAGAGTGAAAATAAAGAACCGAGGCGGACACTGTCCAGTCGGGGTTGTCAAAAGGACAAAATCTTCTCCGACTAATTCTTGTCAGGAGAGAGAAAAAAAACGAATAAAATTAGCCTAAATAAATACTTACTTTGTGAGAGAAAACAAGAAAAACACGCCTGGCACAATGCTTGCGATTTGGGAATTGAGCTTGTTTTCGTTGCTTAGAAAGCTTGTCTGGCACAAGGACAGTTAGTTCCATCAACAATTCTCTGTGTTGAATAGCAGCAGTCAGGATCCTAAAAAGTAAAAATTTAGTGGATTAGAATTTTCGTTTTTGATCACAGTGGGGACATAGAAAATAACAGTGTTGTTTGATGCTTGTTTAAGGCGTGAAACTGACGGTCACCAT